GTGGAGAACTCTGCTCCAGGTCTGAACCACTCTGAGAGACACTTGGGATCTGCTGAAGCTTCTCTTTGTCCAAGCGACAAAATAGGCAGATGAAGGGGTAAAGCATGATGAGCATGCCGCACATCAGAAACCAAAAAATGAATTGTTGCCTGATATCCCTCTTATTCTTCACTTCTTTCGAGAAGTTCACCATCTTTAATTAAAAAACCATATGTCTTGTGATCGATCTCATAGTACCAGGGGATTTCCTGCACGCGATCAATCCAGACAGAAAGACGCGAGCATTCTGCGTCCGGATACCCAAGAAAAGACCGTTGGAGGGCGAGCCGCTTTTCCGCTATTCGCTGCTGTATCCACAAAATGAAGTTTCTCCTTCCTATCACGAAGACTAGCTCTGACAGATCCGGGACCGTAGTCTTCTTTTTGAACAGGAGGCGCATGAACAAACTATGTACTTCCTCGGCGGGGATGGGTTCTGTCACAACATTCCCCTCGGCATCAATACCCCACCTGTAAGCCACCACAGACATGATTCACGAGACTATTTGGTTGCTACTAGTATAGTGAGTGCCAAACTCCTCGTTATGAGAGGCGCAGCAGTAAAATGCTCTCTCTTCACGAGAATGTGAAAGAGGCGGGATGCCAATTCTGCTTGGTGCCTTCATTTTCGTGACGTGTTTGACTTTGGCATCTTTGGACACGAAATTAAGCCAGCGGAGCTGTGTAACCTCGGCAGAAGGTTTCAGTGTAGAAGCAGATACCCCTATAGCTAGCTAACTAGAAGCAGATACCTGTAGTGCTTAGCTAGTGCTTAACTTTTGCTTAGCTAGCTAGAAGCTAATTCCCCCTAGCTAGAAGCAGATTCCCATAGCAAGCTAGAAGCAGACACCCCTAGCTAGCTAGAATACTAGTTATAGCTTTCGCCCCCTACTCGGAAGGATGTAAATAGCTTTAGCTGGTTTGCACCATCCTCTAGCTAGCTAGGAAACTTATTTAGTTTTTGCTGACTTATTTGTATTCTAACCCTACCCTTATACCTGCAGGGACCACCGTAGCAGGAAAAACAATTAAAGGGGTTGAGGGCTCTGGCAGCAAGACTGCCGAGGTAAAATAATAATGCAGGTGATCATTGCGCTGGCACACACAGTGTACTAGCTACATGTAGCTAGCGACACTGTGGATAACTTTGAACTTCTATTAGGAGGGCCTACATTCTGTGTTTCTGGCTGGTCTCAGCTTGACTATGCCTTCTATTAGTTTAAACAGGTTCTCCTTGATCGTCTGCCTCATCGTCCTCGCCTTCTTCAAGCAGGGGCTCGGTTGGATCAGATTCGTCAGCGGCAATAACTGCATCTCCTCGTCCCTCCGCGTTCATTTGCTTGGACTTTCGAACCGCCAAAAAGGTCAAACCACCGACAAACAAGATGAAGGAAACCCCCGCCAAAGGGTGGAAACGAAGCCAAGCCACAGCAATGACAACACCAGCAAAAGCACCCGCCACGATACTGTTCAGGAGAGGGAGCAAGGTGTTTCCAATGCACCGTCCAATCAAGGGAATGGAATCCAACATCATGGCCAACGGACTTAGCATGCCCCCAACCCCAGCATACATGAGGCAAACCCCAAGGAAGCGAAAGAGCCATGTCAAGAACTTGTTACTGGAGATTTCATTGGCAAAAATTTCCTGAGGAGATGCAAGAAAATGAAATTGTGAGCGGCATCATGATGGCAAAGCTGGGCATAAAATGGAATCATTCAACTACTTACCTGTGCAGTGTGGTTTCCCAATTGTACAAACATGAGTTCGCCGCTTTTGCCAGCGTGTTTGCCCTTGTAGGGAGCAAAGCTCTTTCCGGTCTGTTGGGCCATGACAGTCACAACAGAGGGAAGAACAACCTGAAAGGTCACCTTGGAGTCTCCCACTTTGGGTACGGACGGATCTGAACCAAAGTAGAATCCTCCCGGAATGGCCTTGGCCTTGGCTTTTGTGGAGGGATCGGTGATGTTCTCGACAGAGATCCCGTCCGTTTTGTAGGAGAACCAGTTCATGGATCCATCTACCATGTCTTGAGACGCCTCGTAGGCACCGATTGAGACGATGTCAGCCTTGTCCAACATGGCATGATACGGCAAGGGCCCAGGATTGGTGTGATGCTCAGGTTTGTGGAAAACATTGGAATCAATGGGTGCCGGGTACCAGACACGATCATAGGTGTACGAGACTTCATTGGATGTGCTGCCATCCGGGTGCTTGACTGTGTGAGACTCGGTCTTTTCTTCCCATTGGTACATTGCCGCTGTGCGACCGAGCTTCAAGGCATCCGCCGTCACGCCAAACTTCTTGTCCGTGACAGGGCGGCTGTTCTTCGTCGTTCCAACCAAATGAACCAGTTTCCCCTCGTTGGCCGGGTCCACTTCATTAATGTTGGTGATATCGACCACAGCTTTGGATCCTTCATGGAGGATGCTGTAGCGCCTCACGGCACGACCTTCGTTCCAAAAAAGCATGGAGGCGCTCATCAAGACGAGAAAGATGCCACAGCAACCGAAGCCGCCCGCACCACCTCCACGGGTGGCACGGCGGCCAAAGCGGGTGGCCTGTTCGATGGTGCTGAGGGTCTCCATGGTAGTACGTTGGCTTTTGAGAGTTGTTTCTGGGGCGGCGAGCTGAAAAGATATTGTGACACCGATACCCTTGTGGGCCAAGCATGCATCGGTGTCGGTTTCGGTGACCAAGATACCGAAGAGGAGATGTTCGAGCGAAGATGACCACGACTTAGAAAAAGATCGCTGGAACACCTTGGAAGGTGCCATGGCCTTTATGTCTTTGTCTTGGCATCCTGCGCAAAACAGGTTTTACAGGAGCTTCCGTACGTTTATACGTGCATCAGAGAATCAGAGATCACAGAGACGCTGCTCGAGCAGGAACTGTGCATGAGCAACGATCCTTCTAGGGCCACGCAAACCTGATGATGGAATGGGACGTGGAGAGCCTCGTCAGCATGTTCTGCATTGTTCATTTGTCGGCCAGACGTGCGGCACCGACGCACGGCCAACTGCCAAAGATCCAGGATCCCAGAGTCGGAGCCGATCTGGTTGGTTGGGTCCCTTTGGTACGAAGCACCAAGCCCAACAGGGGCTCAGTGAACTTCGGCCGTCTGAAGTCTTGCAAAGGTGCAGAAGACGGTGGCAGTTCCCATGTGCAATGTATACCAGAAGCGCAATTTGGTTTCGTTATGGCTCGGGGTATCCATCTGTTCCTCAGGCAATTGTGTAACTTGTAACTTGAATAGTGCATGTCAACATCTACATGTAGCTATTATGTCACTTTTTTATGGATCTGTTCGTCAGCCTATTACCACATGTCATCGTACATGGCGTTTTCCAACGCTCGTTCCATCTCTCGTTCCATCTCCCGCTGTATCTCTCGTTCAACCTCTCTCTGGACCTCCAGTTCGATTTCTCTCTGGACCTCCCTTTCAATCTCTCGCTGAATTTCTCTTTCGATCTCTCTTTCTATCTCCCGTTCAATTTCCCTTTCAACCTCCCTTTCAATCTCGCGTTCAATTTCTCGCTCGATCTCGCGTTCAATTTCCCTCTCAATCTCGTTTTCAAGCTGTCGCTCAATCTCGCGCTCAACCTCGTATTCGACCTGTCTTTCTATTTCATCATCAATCCTCCTCTGTACTTCCAGTTCAATCTCACGCTCAACCTCATACTCGATCTGGCGGGCAATGAGATCCTCTTCCAGCGCTCCAGCGTACATGCCCTGTTCGTGTTCAGGAAAGAAAGAGACAATGTGAGAAAAGACGTACAAGGCAAAGTTTGACCATGGAAACTTGTTGTGGTATGAGGACTTACATGATAGTATCCGACATCATATCCGCAAGTCACGTTGATCGTATCGTACACTGGGCCAAACAGCAACTCGTCCAAGACGGCACCAGCTAGGACGCCCAAGAAAACCATCCCGGCCATATCAGCCCAGCTCATTTGTTGGCGGTAGACACTTCTGCCATCCTCTGTCACGGTGGGTTTGTAAGAATAGGGCAAATCCAGGACAGAGCCAGAGTGACAGGAGTCGATTAGGCAAGTGACCTTGACACCCTTCTTCATTGGGCGGACAAAGTGATTGAACAGATTAAAGTCGCGAATCTGTCCCGCCTTTCTGTGATCCAAGGGAATGAGTGTTTGGTCAAACTGGTCGTTGTTTTGCTTTAACGAGTTTTGGTCAGCTTCTAGGAAACCTCCATGCCCACTGTAGTGGAAGAAGACACTGTCACCAGCGTCGCTAAGCTCCGTCAGACGTTTTAGCTCTCCAATCATCTTTTGCTTGGTTGGTTGCTCTCCGTTTCCATCGTCTGTGAGGAGGGTGATGTTTTGCTCTGGAAAGCCTTGCACGTTCACAAGATAATCTTTCATTCGCATGGCATCATTGATGCAGCCCCGTAGTTGCCCCTGTTGCCCATGGTAATTGATGCCCACCAACAGTGCGCGGCGTTGTCCTTGTGGATTGCTGGGGTCGTAAAAAGAAAAGGCAGTGTCATCCAGATCCAGTGGTCGACTGCTGGTCAACTGAGGGACCTGGGAATGCCCTTGTTTTTGGAGTCGCTCGCGCAATGCCTCGAGAGCGTCTTGAAAGGAAAAGTGTTTCTTTTCGTTTTCGTACAAGAGCTCCAACAAGGCCGAAGTGGCGGCACCTCCGCCCCGACCGTGTGGATTGGGCAGATTATTGCCTGCATTCAAGACATCTGCACTGGTCTGACCATCCTCACAACCACTAATCATGCGCACTTCTGCCGGAATGAGTTCCTCGGCTTGCTTGAGAAATTGTGCCTGATCTTCTGGTGTTGTCGCGTCTTGTTGTTGGGTTTCTTCGGAAAAGGTCGCTTCTCGTTGTTGATATTCTCGAATGTCTCGTTTGAGAGCGTTGGTGGGTGGCACGGGTGGCAATTGTGCCTCCAACTCGGCAATCTTTTCCTCCTTTAATGCTTGTTGCTTTTCTTGAACCTCGGGTGCTTGTCGTTTGGCTGCAACCTGTCGTTGGATCTTTTCTTGCTTTACAGCACGAGTAGTGGCGGAGTTCTTTTTGGCGTGCAATCGTTGTTGCATCTGTGCCGTCTTGGCGGCCTTCACTCTGTCATTTGCGTTGACTATTCGTTTCTTGGCGTCAACTCTTGCTTTGAGCTGTGTGTTTTTGGCTGCATTTACTCTTGATTGTACCTTGGCATTGTTTTGTTGCTTGTGCTTGGGTGTTCTCTGTTGTTGCTGTTGTGGTCGTTGTTGTGTAGTCGGACGTCCATTGCGCTGTGGTTGGCGTTGGTGGTGAGCAGCAGTTGGTCGTTGATAAGCGGATTCTTGTACTGGAACGGATTCTACGCAGCCCATGATTATTGAAAGCTCTGGTTGTCGTTGTTGGTTGTTGTTGTTTGATTGTTTTGTTGTTTTGTTTTATGAGCCCTTTGGTTGCTTCTTTCATCAGATCATCTGTCTGTCTTGAACAACGGCAACGATCGGCAACAATCGCATATTCGGATTGCTATCTGGCTACAGTATCCGAAAGCTGGGTAAGTCGGTTCATTGCATGCAATGATTCCTTCATCGGTAGTTCATCAGTACCGGCACATGATAAGAGTTGAAGAGTTGAGATGGGCAGGTATGAAGCAATGAAAGAGGATAGACTTCATCGTGAAGCGAAGAAAGCGAAGAATAAAGAGAGTGTGAATTAAGTGTGAACGCATGGTCCCGTTTTCGTTTACTGCACATACTGCACATACGGACATACTTTTACGGTACAGCTCGTACACGCCGTATGTGGAACGACCGGTACGGTAAAGGTACCGGTCCCGAAGCTAAAAAAGGCTCAGTACCAAGATTCTATATTTTTTAGAGACTGGATGCAGAAGCAGAATGCTCCTTCAACAAAGAGCAATTCATACACTAATTCACCTCTTGCAGCCTTCTCATCCCCTTTTTAAGTATCATAGATGTTTCGCCATGCCAGGTTCCATATTCCAGCTGGTGCTGAGTCGAGTCATGCACGTTAGGAGAGTGCGGAGCTCAGTTGCACGGCACGGTACGGAAGTGTGAGCCAATTCGGCTAGCTAGCTAGGTGGAATATCTTTGCTCTTCTTTACATATTTCTCTACCTGCAAAGACTGGACTCTGTTACATCCCTCCCTTTCAGTCAAAGAAAATGCAGAAGCAAACGTTCATGACGATGAGTACAGTTCAGCCCTATAATGGATTCATTCCGCCATCCCAGCTAGCCAAGATGAAGCGGCTTGACAGCTCTGACTCCTCCGTTGGGACCAGCACCCAATCACAACGAACGGCAACCACACGAACTGGTTCCAAATGCAGTATCAGGAGTGCGCGAAGCTGCACTGGAAGTCACAAGAGTCGCCATTGCCCACATGACTGCGGAAGATGCCATCGTACAGTGGCGCCACGACGACCCAAGAGAGCGATTGGAGTCAAGCCACCTCAATGCGACACGGCAGGGGATGGTCTCTTTCGAGCCTCCACTGGCCGCAAAAAGATGGGTCGATGCTTCACTCAGTAGGAGTTATCATGGAAGATATTACCAAAAGCCCGAGTGTTCCGTTTTCCCAATATTGTTGCTCCAACTTTCCGCTATTGCAGAGTATCCGCATCAAAAGTGTGAAGCTACCACTAGCTAGAGTTTGTCTCCGAACTGTGCGGCCCCAAGGATGATGCATTGAAATCTCTGTCTCAAAGGTCCTCTATGACAGCTTTTTGAAGCACAGATCCAGCGATAGCAGGGACAATCGTCGTCAAAAACTCATGCCGATAGGTACCGTACTCGAAACCGAATGCATACGTTACACTTAGAAAACAAACTTGACTTTGTTATTTCCCGGTCTGTTCCTGGGGTAGAATCTGTACCGTCCTTCTGGCATTAGTTTGCTCCAGTACTACTATATAGGGCATGCTAGCAAGGCATTTGGCTTTGGTTCCTTCTTGTGTAAGCTTATACATCAATATGATGCTGCTCGATGCGTCTGGTTCTTTACCTCTTTGGTGGCTCGGAATCTGTACTTCAATGTTGGACCTGGTTCAACTCCTTTGTCAATGCGCACCCACCCAGTGGGCGGTGGAGAGTAGTCACAGTCATCACTTCCAGCATGATAGAAGTCTGTGCCTCTGTCGCTGAATTTTTCTTGTAGGGATAGATAAAAACTTTCTTAAATCAGTCCCTTTTTGCTAAAAAGCCAAAAAAGACAGGGATCCCCAGTGTACAAACCTTGCTTGCTGTACTTCCAGTCGTTATTGAATGACCCATCTAGAAGCCAAATTCCATTCGAAGCATCGCAGCCAGCCCCTTTCACTTTGATCTCCATTGGAGCACCATAATCTGGGTCAACTTATTCTGTGGAGTTGGAGATTTGCAGTGCAACCTTATAGGCATGTAGAATTATTATGACAGATAACTTCTGAATGCGCTCCTTTGATGGAAACTCTGCCCAGCCACCGGCAGGGAACAAAGCCAGGGGCACTCCTTTCCGTTGCCGCATAAGCCGTTGGGTGGCTGCCGTATGCCTCAAGATTTGCGTACTAGTACTCTACGGGCCATTTCGGCGTGGTCCACAGAGTCACAACACCAAGCCTGAGAAAACGCAGGAACCGCCCACCCATTTTCACACCGGCCCACGCACGTCACGGGTGCTAACGGGTGCTGGTGCTTTCGGTGACTCCAAATCTGTACTTCAACTTAGGGCTTGGCGCTGTTCCAAGAGACAGTACTTGCCACACTGTGGTTGGTGCAGGAAACTCTTGGTTTTCCTCCTGTTCCACGTGTTCGCTCGCACTGCAATAGAAGTCCTTGTCTGATTCAGTTCCTGGATAATGCTTATCAGGGATTGATATATACAAAAAAAAACGGAGGAAAAAGCCAGAATCCTTCGTACACCCCTTCCTTCCTGTACCTGCATTTGCCTTCGAATGACCCATATCGAGTATAGACACCATTGGCAGATTCAGAGCCGGCCCCTTCCACTTTAATGCCAGTTGGTAATCCGCTATTGGGAGTCAAATCTTCCAGCCACACAGGGTATCGAGCGTGGTCGAAGGATGCAGATGGGGATGCCTTGTTCATTGCTAGGGCCTGCTGCTTATACGCCTCCAACAGCTGCTCAGATGTGACCAAACCCGAGAAGGTGATTGTTGTTGCTAAAGCTTCTGGGTTTATCTTTTCAAAAGAGATATGCTGGGAAAGCTCTTTTGCAATCATGCTTTTCACTCTTCTTGATTTGAAACAGCTGGTATTCTGTCATTGGCATCTTTTTGTCTTTGAGAATATCTTCCAAAACATCAGCACTCAAGCAATTGACCTGCTCCTTAGTGATTGATCCGAATGGAGTGAGGCGAACTTGGGCAAGAATTTTATCTGCAATGGAAGGTCCGGCCACTTTGCAAGCCTGCAGGATAGCAAATGACAAGCCTGGCGCTGCCTCACACATTTGCTCAAATTGCTTCAAGACTAGTTTTGCCAAGTTCGGAAGCTGGAAGTATGATGCTGCCTCAGCCAATGAAACAAGGGACTGGATAAGAGGAAAATCAACAGATTTCCGGTTTGGGCTCTTGCGTTTCTTGCAACTTAGCATCTCTACAGAATCTGTATGGATATACTCCAAAACAGCTTTCAAGGTGCCTCCTTTGAATCCAACCTCTACAACAGTCAAGGATGCCTCCTGGAATTTGCCAAGCAGCATTCCTCTAAATACCTGACTTCTAGCAGACAACAGAAATCGGTTTGCTGGCACCTCTACTCCATCAGTTCCTTTGAGTGCCATATCATTCAGAGCTTCATCAGTCAGGAAGCTCTTGAGCATCTCATTGATGGAGATCTCATTGTCAGTGGTAGTTGTGCCTTCCATGATCTCAATATCTTTGTGTCGTTGCTCAATAGACACGGGTCATGAGAGAGCTTCGGAAATAAGAATAAAAATGCGGTGGATGCGCGTGCGTGGGCTTAGCTAGCTACTTAGGGTTTAACTACGGGCTAAACCACTGCCGGTACAAGAGGGCGAAAGAACGAGACTAGCTTTTGGTCGGCACAGAGACCACCGGTGAGCGAGTTATGATGCATGTAGTGCATGCCGGTACAAAGCAATCAGATACATTGGTAGGTTGAGAAACAGGGAGTGGTGAGCTCGGCTGGAAACGGTTGCTTGGTGAAGAGATTTATTGAGGTTGTGGAAGGTTGGAAAGATTGCACCTCTTGGGCGTTGTACCGTGTGCGAGACTTCACTTGGTGGGGCGGGAATAAGGGCTCGAGGTGACAACATTCCATAGAAAATGCGAAACAAGCTACTAATGTCACAGGTTGCAAACTACAACAGCCAACGGACCAAACAATCACCAGCTCAAAACTACTGATACACCATGCAGCCAAACGAACACCAATCCAGACGGGAAAGTCACACAATCGAGAGAGCTCATGTCCAAAAGAAAAACACACATGACCAATCTCACGGGCTCTGCTCCTGTACAAAATGAATTTCTTTTACACATCCCCCGCATCGGCTCGCTGTTTGAGTCTTTCCAGACATGTCAGGTACCAGTAAGGCATGTGATCTTTGATGGGTTCGGGCGTCTTTTCGCATTCCTCTTCAAATCGTGTCTTGATATCATCATCGGGGTGATGATCTTCACTGTCGGGTACGGGATGGCTGGCATTGTTTGCCGCCCGGAAATTGCTGACAATGGTTTTGACTTCTGCCATGCTCTTGGTTTCTTTCATGTGTGGATTGATGAGAATGTCGTGTCCGTCGATCGGAATGTAAACGAGCTTGTCGAGATGCACAAATCCAATGGCATTCGGAGGCATGTGCGGTACGACATCGTGATTATAGACCATGCGACAAATGACGGCTCGATCCAGTGGTCGCAATTTGGCCATGCGTTCCATGACTTGATCTCTCATTTGCTTGCTACAGACACGAGGTGATCCGGCCGTGACATTGATGAGTTTGTGATTGCAAAAGTCTGGTTTTTCCAAGGAAGGTTGCATTTCTTGCAGGATAAAGCAAAAGGCACAGGTGGCAATGGCAGCACCCAAACTGCATCCCACAACGTAAACCTTTTTGGGTGTAGCATCGGATTTGAGGAGTGGTTCCAGCACGTACTTTCGGATCATGGGTATGGTGTAGACAAAGTTGTTGTAAAATCCCGTGTGGATTCGTGGTTTGCCGCGTTCTGTAAAGTATTTGGTGTAGAGTCCATCGACACAGGAACACCATCCGGCATGACCAATCAGTTCATCGCGGTCTTTTTTTTCAGAACAAAAAAGGATGGCGAGCAAAGAAAACATATGACGCTAGAGATCATCGTTCAAGATTATTTCGCGTTCCAATTGGATATGTACATACCTGGCTCCCACTCGGATGTGGTCATGCTGAGATTGGTCATCCAGTCCATGTTGGACGTTGTAAATCGATAACTCAGAACAATGGTATCTTCATTGGACGCAATATACCCCTGCGTATCCACCGCCCGTGCATGGCGCCATCCACTTTCATCAATCCAACAATCCATGTTGAAATTAAAATGCTTCTTTAGCAATTCACTGAGTGGCTTTTTGGCATCTTCCTTGCCGACAATGTGTTCGACGGCCGCCAACGTATTTGGTCCTGGAGATGCGAGTCTCCCTTCCGTGTCATCGGTACAAGAGAGATGCGCCATTTTCAAACCAAAAATCATGTCTTCCACTTGGAGCCCTCCCGGTTTTTGACTGTATGCCGTCGAATAGACCCGGCCTTGACGACCGGTACCGGCTTGTTCCGACTTTGGTATGTCATCATCGTCCGTCTTGAGATTGTACTGTTCCGTCACGGGAATTGGATTCTTGGTCTCGGTAGTGGTAGTGCCTTCGGTCATGGTCCACTCTTTAGAACTTGATTGATGATATCGCCAGAGATTGGAGTAACGTCCTTATCTTATTCTTCCCACAGCTATCAAGTCTGGATCTGTTTGAGAAGATTCTGTCTGCAGAGGTGTGCTGTTCCCATTCTCGATTTGAGATTTCTGGCCAACGGCTTTCTCAGTCGCAAGCGTGACTTCGCGCACCAACTGCCACTCCAGTCGAGTACGGGTCTCGACTGGATTTATCAATCAACTTGGTACTTAGACAGAGGCTTTGACCTCTAAATCTCTCCAGCTGAGAAAGCAAGGATTCATGAGAAAGATTTTGATGAATTCTGATTGTTGCCGTCAGCGTGGTGACAACGGCTTCGCTCTCTGCCTCGTTGTGGTTTGCACCTTGGAGTGGGAAGCGAGAGTTCTATTTGCATAGTTCGGAACAAGTAGGGTACCAGTATACTTGAGCGGCAGAAATTTGGTTTGACTCACCTCTTGGCACCAGCTAATCAATCAACAGCCGAACCAATAGACCAGAGGCCAATCAACCACACGATTCTTCATTCTTCAGTCTTCTTTCGTCTTCTTGACAATCTACTCGCTTATCTTGTCTTATCTTATCTTATCTACGGTATCAACAACCAGACGACCATGATGATAACGCGATTGGTCTACTTGTCTCTGTGGGGTATCCTGGGTCTCTCTTGTTTGGTGAATGATTCCACGTTGCAAGTTTGGGCCGACACGGTGGTTGTTCCTAACAACAGTACTAGCACTACTACAAACTCTACTTGCGAGACGGCCGAAGCACGTTGGAGTGACACCAACGTGAAGGAAGTCTTGGATGCCTGGCAGTTTACCCCAGACGAACAAGCGCGCTTTTTGGAATTGCGCATTCGGCTGTCCGATATTGATCACTGGAAGAACGATCCCGCCGAAGTGGCGCGCTTTATTAAAGAACACAATTTTCACGTGGCAAAAGCGGAAGAAATGTTTCGTGGTATGATTGCCTGGCGGTTGGAGAATGACATTGATACCTTTATGGAACGTTACGGAGAACCACCCGCCATTTTCCACTATGCACCCCTCTTTTTACTGCGAGGACTCGATCATGACGGAGATCCCATTTTTGTCGAACGCATTGGAGTACTGGATGGCTGGGGACTCTACCAACGGCTTGGGCTGGACGCCATGATGGATGCCATGCGGTTTGTGTCGGAAGTTCATACGTCCCGGGAAGTCGGTATTCGGACCGAATGGCAATGGCAAAAAGGACACTACGAACGCGTCATGGGCAAACGCGTCACCCAATTTACCATTCTCATTGATCTGGAAGGACTCGGATTGCAACTGTTACGACCCGCCATGTTTCAACTCTTGTCGGAAACGGCACGCATTGCCCAAGATCATTATCCCGGACTCGCCAAACGCATTGTCATGGTACGAGCTCCACGGCTCTTTCAAATGGCATGGAAGGTTGCCGTGCACTTTTACGATGATCGTGTCCAAGACAAATTTATCTTTACCACCAAGGAAGATTATTTGGATATTCTCTCCAAGTATATGGACTTGGAAGTACTGCCCGATGTCATGTATCCGGGAGGTGGCAAGGGATCTCAAATGCCAGGATTCTTTGAAAAGATTCGAATGGAAGGAGGACCCATTCCCAAAGACATGTCGTCGTCATCGTCGTCGCTGCAACAAGAGGAAACCAACACGGCCATATTGTCGGACTTGACAGCCGCCAGTGCCCAGTAGCCATGCCATGTTTTTTTCTTCTTGGCCATCACCCACTGTTTTAAGACTACCTCCACATACATACATATTCCAAAAATGCATGCATGCATGCATAATACCAACGACAACCACCACAGTTACAACAAGAGAGTAGTATAGCTACAAGACACACGGCTAGCTAGTCATGGCTTTTTACCTCTCCAACCAATTCATTCTTAGCTAGTATCGTCGCTGGATGTCCGTCATGACGGGTGGGTCGCAGGATCGCAGCGCATTAGACCAATCTTAGTTTCAACAAGACCCCTCCCTGAAGCTCATCACGAGCCCCCAAAACATCGTACTACTTACTACATGGACAGCTTGGTCCATCGCGCCGTTTTCTTGGACCCCTGTGTCCGCGAGCAAAAAGCACGTAAAGAGCTCTATACTCATCCGCGCCGTGGTGTGACACCTCATGCCCATCACTTCAATCATGGCATGAGCTCCAAAGGAAGCCAGGAGTCCATGGGCTTCATTATAGAGAGGTGCAAGCAGAACCACCGAAGACAAAAAATCCACACACATTTTAGCAGCCCATTGCTCACAAAAAAAATTCCATGCAACAACTCACCCAGGCGAGGCACATCAATATGGGCCATCCAAATAATATCAAGCTAGAAAGAAATAGTGTGACTGGCTTGAGAATCGTTTGGCGTTTGTCCTTGTACTGTACTGCTCGTGATGTGATTTGTTGTTTTGGAGAAGGAGGAATAGTACCAGATGATTCGATTCAGCAACTCCAGCGGAACAAACCGAAAGGTAACTTCTTCCACCCCGGGATCGAATAGAAAGCTGAAGAACCAATCCGGATTCCTCTCCCTCACATTCCAGTTGAGCGACGATAAGAATATTTCTGCGTGCATCCACACCAAAATCTCTTGAACCCAAGAAAGTCCTTTCACTATCATGGTCATTGTTGCATGCCCTGGTGTGAAGTCTGAGACTTCCGATGCTACTGTAGTGCCGAATATACGTGGATAGCAACGATGCAACACATTAGCCACCAATACTTTTTGTGGCCTTGACGCACACCGATGACAAAATCAACGTACGCCTTCTGAGAGAACAGCTTCATTCGTGTTGATTTCTTCGGCTGGCTCTCATGAATGGCTTCATTCAGTTTGTTACGGGCTGAGTCTTCTTTGG